GACCGTGCATCACCAAGGTATCCAAAATGTTTTCGTTCGTAACAGACTTTGGACCCTGCTGCCACCCCCTGCTTTCAGTAAAGAACTTCTACTGCCGACATCCTTCGGGACAGGAGTTGCCCACACACGCAATCGGTCAAGCCGGTAAGACAAGCATGGGCGCACTCCCTTGCAGACGTGCAACAACAACAACACAACATCTACACGGGCAACAAAAACGACGACGAACTGACCCAAGAAAACAGCCAACACTACCACGACCGCTACACGCGCAACAGAGACGACGACGAACAAACGGCAGCAATACAGCAACACGACGACGACGAGGACGACTGACCGAGAAAACACGGCCACAACAACACAACAAGCTGGTTTTTCGCGCTCTTGTTGTTGCTGAAAGTGAAAATGATAGCTTGCCATGGCTCAGGACACAGAAATTGTGACTTAAGAATGTTAAATGATCAGATGATGATGAAGGCTACTCTTTATCCAAGGGTGATCCGTGGAGCTATCCTGCCAAGGAAATGCCAGGGTATTGATGCTTTCGAGCCAGCGGCTTCTTTCATCCAGCAAGGTTCTCCAAGGCAATAGTTTTTCCAATGGGAAACTTTGCAGTTGGGGCCTCAATCCTTTGGAGTCTCCGGGGCCTTTAGGCTCATACGCTAGGAAACTCCAGAACTCCAGATATAGTCGAGGTGAACCAGAGATTCCAAGATCCCCCCGTTGAAAGGGAATCCGACAGCGCTTCGGCAGAATTACTATCGGGGAAAGACGCTTGCAGACCAGTCATCCTTAGCTAGACGGATGCTGTTTGTAATCCCTTCACCTGTATCTCTTCGATTCTTGATTGGAGGCCCACTGTAGAAACAACAGCTTCTTTGGGGTACTTTGGGCTGGCCTTATCGCAGGTACACAGGGTGGATCAGACCGTGCATCACCAAGGTATCCAGAATGTCTTCGTTCGTGGCAGACTCTGGACCCTGCTGCCACCCCCTGCTTTCAGTAAAGCACTTGTCCTGCCTACATCCTTCGGGACAGGAGTTGCACACATACACACACACACACAGAGGCACACACTCACACTCGCTCGAAGGCCTTGTTGACGGCCACGACCAACAAACCACCGCAGATGTGTCTTACTCAACCGTACCAGAAACCACAACAAAGCCAGCACATTCATCTGCCATGATCCAAACCCAAATTGAACACAACAGATGTTCTATCCCGGAGTGTGGACACCTCATTCATCACGCTAGCTGGATCAATTGATAGTTGGGTTTGCTATGGTATCAAGCTAGATTACCAAACAAATCGAATGATCCTTCGAAGCAGGCCAGCCGTGGGGTCTGTACCCCCCTCCACGCCAAGCTACCTGTACTGCATAGTGAAGCACCACAAGGACGGGGCTCAATCGCATTATCATTTGAGAAGCTTGAGCCGAAAAAGGTCGATGGTGAGGTCTGTTTTGTCGGCATCAAGCTCCAAAACATGAAACTTTCGACTAGCGGTGCCAAAAGAGCAGGTGGATGCATTGAGTAGTATCTTAACCCTTGTGTCCGTGTTATCACGGTCGACAATACGTCTAAACGTCCTGGACATGCAGGTCATGTCATCAGCGATCAGCGCGTGCTTGGAAAAGGCCGCGCCTCCATCTCCTCTGATGCATCCTCTTCAGCATCGCCTGAACTCGAGCAGCATTTGCTTCTTCCCCTCGTGTATCAGTTGAGGGTTCCATACATGCGCACATGCATGCGCAAAGAAGGGTCAGCCACGGTCAGCGCAAACGACACATCGGCACAGATCGTGCATGTGATCAAAACCTAAGACCTCATGATGCCAATAAGTACTACCAATGTATGCCGACGTGTGGTTGGCGCACCCATGCAAACTATCGGGCACTCGCACACATGCAACAGCAGGTCCTTATGTTGAGCCTTGCACACAAGCAAACAGGACATACATATACAAACAATATGTAAAGCTGAGGCAAGACCAGTAATTCATTCCAACAAGCAAACAACCGCAGCAAGCAAGAACGATGCGGACAGAGAGGGAGGAACAAGAAATGCACACACGCGCAAATACCCCCCACACGCACACACACACACACACACGTGTGAGTATGATTTAGCCTGGGAGGCACAGCAATGCACAAACACGCAGACACGTGCACCCTGCACGATCCTCAAACAAACATCATGTCATGTAAGGTTCTGTACGCACACGCAGGTATCACGGCAAATGAAGAACAAGATCCGTGCATGAAGCCGTGAGACTTGCAAAAGATAATGCAGATTCTGCGCGCACACATGGATAAGCAACTCTCGTTGACAAACGAGCCAATAAAGTCTAACCATAGACTTGCACACATATTACCTATACATTTAAGAAGCGTAGGCAGCACAAGACATGTGAGTACAAAGTTCGGTGCTCGTACACCTCCAATGCAGCACATGAAAACACGCAGTCGCTTCTACACATTGGCAGCTGGATATGCGTACGTGTGTGGGCAGGTACCTCGAGAGCAGAGGCTTCCAAACGCACAGCAGCCCTGCAAAGTGCTAGATAATTCCAGAAAAAGGAGCCTTGGCAGTAACCCGTATGGCACCCGAGGACATCGTGCAAGGCGCTTCGAAGCAGCCAAAGCGCAGGTTTCCTCGGCCTCCCGGGCTCCACAGGTCCTAAGCGAGAGCCGCGGCCGAGGAGTGGAGAAGTCCACGGCGGTGCCTGGAAGTGCGAGTTTTTGAGCTTGCACCTGGACGTCTTGACCTTCGATTGCTTCGAAATTTACGAAAGTCTGGACATCTATGTGCCCGTGCGGCCTGTGCAGATGTATGTCCAGGACTCACCACGACGGCATCGCTACGAGTATTGATGCAAGCACCCCAGATCCTAGCCCGAAATACTGTCAAAACAGTGCAACCGCGAAGCACTCTTTGGAGAATTGGACCTCAACATCTGGCCACATCTCGCGCAGCTCCTGCCGACACGCCCACTAAGTGACGGTCCAGCTTCAGCTGAAGCCCAGTTGGGGTTTGATGGTTTGATGCTAAGCAAGATGCGCACTCATGATCGCCTTCGGCGAACACAACCCCATTCTCTCTCTATTAGCAAACAGCCGTCCATGTTAATACGACTGAACGGAAGAAGTGAAGCATCCGCTCCTCGTACAAGCAGCTTGAGAGGCGGTCCCGTGCGATGACTTTCCTTCTAGACGGACGGTCTCGGCAGACGTCATACATTGTAAACATCACCAGATTCAACGCACCCAAAACTCGAAGAACGAGCGTAGGGACTTTCCCGTGACCATGTGTAGCGCAGACTTAGAGGTATGACGGTACTTGTCCATTCAGAGCTGCGTTTTGTCGCGTTTTCGTTACGATGCTTCTGCAGCTTTTCGGGCCTTGACGCGTTGGCATTTTTGCTGAGTCACTGCATGTTATCCCTTCTTCGCACCCTTCCGCGGACGGTTTTGCCAGCTTGCAAGCGACCGCTTTCGCAAGAGCACAAAACTTAAAAACACCACATACAGATTAAGCATTCGCGACGGCTGACGTATTCGTTGCTTCCACGGCCTTCCGCCCAGCAACCGCCTTCCGCAGCCCCTCCGTGCGCCTAGTCTCAGAGAGATTTCCGGATTAAACGAAAGTTGGGCAAGTAACACTTATAAGGCTGACATGTCGACACCGCTGCTCATTTGGCTTTGTCGGGCAGCTTGCGGAGGCTGATCCTTGCAGAGACCGAGCTTCAAGGACAGCCGGTCATACTATCATACAGTATCCGGAGAAACAAGACACAACCAATGCCAAAACTGTCCTCACACGTCATTCGCAGACGCCAAAAAATTCCCCTGCCCCGATTCCCACCCCACCCCCCTCCGCATCCGTCCGACCTTCAAAGACAACACCTGCCAGGCATCGTGAGGAACCGCCGCTTGTTGATCGTAACTTTGGGCTCGCCCTCGCCTGACCAATCCTGCAACTCGGCTCAGGCCAAGGATAGCTATTTCATAATCACAAGGCATCTCATCGAAGTGGCCATCCCGATCCTTGCGGCCGACTACGGTCTGGCTCCATCGATCGACGCGCTCCAGGGCACCGAATTTGGCCAAAGCCCGCTGCCCGCGGCCTCAAGTGGGGTGGTTCGTCTACAATGAGTTGAGCCTGTAGGACAAGTCATGAGGGTGTGGCTTAGTGAACCGGATTAGCTAAACCGTCTTCATTGAGACTGTCGCTGTGCGTGCCGGAACATGCAAGCATCAATCGTTCTGCGTGTGCTAAATCTAAGCTTGAGACCACCGATCGAGTCAACGTAACAGGCGAAGGCAAACGGGCTCAGAAACTCCGGTCCGGAGCAAGCCGAGCACATTGGCGCTATGCCCTGGGCAGTCCCCGGCCTGCCTCCAATCCCCAGGTTGTAGGAGCGATCTGGATCCCCCCAGACCTTGCAGGATAATAATTGCCGAATTTCCTGCAGCTCGCAGATTGTGGGATGGGTTCGCTATAGATGTTGGGAATTCATCGGCGGAGTTGTCGCAACGGGCATGTTGACATATGTTGACTCAATATCCTGACCTGGAACCATCACCTTGATGGCCACCATCGCAATATACTGAGGAGCAGCAGCACTGAGCACAATCATGGAAGTATATTTGGGAGCAACAGAAGTTTATGACATAAGCGAGCATGGGCAGCAGATTCTGCCTCGTCATGACGACGAACGCCAAAGCAACAAGAACCACGACCAACTTGCGAAGACATTCAGTCGGACGGGTAGCTTGTCGTAAAGCGTGAGGCGAATGGCAAAGCGATATGCTTTCTGGCAGCTGCTCATGCAAACACAGCCACTGCAACAGTGACGGCTGACAACCGCAACAGCAACAGCAACGACAACATCGACGTTATTGCCTCGGCCGGCTAGGAACTCTGAGAAATCCCTGTCAGGAAAACACAGGCGCTTTAGCGTACAGGGGCTCATGCATGGTGGGTTTTGCACAACGGCGATAGGGCGATATCGCACAATTTCAAGACATCCTAAAATCCACGAACCATCCCCGAACCCATCAACAAGTCCAAGTAAACTGACATGATTTCGGGGACGAGTAGCCGCAGCATCAGGGCTCGGCGGCTCCGGCAAGCGATCAAGCACCCGAACCTCTTTGCGGAATGCTGGTCAAGGCCCAAGGCCAAATATTCGGTGGCCGCGAAACCTATAGCTGTTATTACTTCTTTCTTTTTCTGCCTTGCGGAAGCCGCGCCGGGCCAACGCCAGGGCCGTAAGCAGCCCAACAGGTCCCGCACCGACAACTGCAACGCTGAGGCCTTGCTCCTGATTGAAGCTAAAGTGTGGGATTGAGTCTGTGCCCTGCTGAGTATGGGAGCTTCAAGAAGAAACATTTATCGTGATAGCTGGTGGTGCCTCCCTGCCGTTGTTCTTTCGTTACTTTGCGTGACACGGATTGGTTAGGTTTATTTTCTGTGCATGTATATACGTATGTATGGTCAGGCGCTCGGCGGCCCCCCCTTCCCCCCTCATGGTCCATGGTCCAGGATGCCCTCTGGGTAGGGTGTGGTGTGGTTGTGGGGTTTAGGGGTTTATAGGGCTTAGCTTAAGCTTTTGGGTGTTTTGCCCACCCGCTTCGCTGACTAGGTCGCGCGGCAGGGAAAACCCAGGCTCCAAGACTACAGACACGGGGGCAAGTCCCAGGCAACATGCACTCTCGTACGTCAACGACCGCATAGGCTACAGGGCAAGAGTACATAGAGCAGGACTCGCAATACAACACCAGCTTGGCGAGGGTTTGGGGTCTAGGGTTAAGGTTAATACGGTTTATGTCCTGTGAGCCATTTCGAGCCTGCATTTAGGCGGGGTTTAGGAGTTTCGGGTTGGGTGTACTGCCTCTTTGGTGGGAGTTCCAGTTAGACCACCGTTCTTGGTCTGGTGACAGAACAATGATCGAAGGCTCTTGATCGTTGATAGTCCGAAGAAGTGTTGAACGACCTTGTGATCGTTGAAAATCAAGACCGCTACGCAAGTCTACAGGGTGGCCGAGTTTCAGACCTGCGAGCGCAACCTTGTGACTGAGCCTCAATGGACCAATATAGAGTTCCAGGAAGTCAATCTTGCTTGCAGATGTCACTTGTCAGTAACAGTATAACAGTCTTGGTGAGGCGCACTTATTCCAATGGCATTGGACGTCAGTGCTGCATCGAATGTCACCATACAGCGTGCATGGTCTGATCCCTCTGATGTCATTGACGCCTTGGGAGGAGATAAAGGAATCTCAACATCTGATGTAACGTCGAAGTTCCTCCGTAGTTTCGACATGTTGACACGAACAATGCGTGTTCCAAGATCTATTCCTACCATGGAACCACCTAACTCTGAAACAACCTTTCTTTTACCCACCTTCCCTGTCGACAGCCCGTGGAACCAAGTTTGGAGGTATGTACGGACCAGTCGAGGCGAGCTGCTTAGTCTCTTCTGAGATCATCCGATTGCCTATCTTCTTGGTAAGCCTTGTTGGCAAGTTCGCGGATAGCTGTTGCAGTGACCTTCTGCGTCTGTAGGATTGCCAGTTGGTTTGGTTCAGACGGTTCAGAATTCGCAGGTGTGAGAATATCTCGAAGTCTCCGACCGAATGCAAGCTCAAGCTGTGTTAGCATCACTCCGCCGCAAGAGACGGAAGAGTTTCTTGCCAAGCAGGCTTGGCGCACAATGTTGCCGTACTTCATGATAATTCCGTTGAAAGGCTCGTCGTCGTAGCCTTCGTGAATAGTCTGAAGCATAATTTTAAGCTAATGTTTCAGCAACCTTACGACATCTTGTGCTCTGTTCGGCCATGGAATACCTGGTCCTGTAACAACAGGTTTAATATTCTGCCTGTTGTGGTAGGCCTCCATTTTTGCAGTCAATAAAAGGTTGATCTGCGCGACTACCTTCGGAGTCATCTGATACTTCTCAAAATATTCTGTCATGAGTGACATTCTCGTGGAGTCTTCCTTGTCCTGGACAACTTCTGCAGTAACCAGATTAGTTGCGCCATCATACATAATGAGGAACATCAACTTAGCTTGCAGGAATTGGCAATTCTCCATGGTCAGCGAAGGTGAGATCGCCAATAATTTCCGAATGAAGTCCTGAAATCTTGGCCTTGGAAGGAGCGCTTTTGTGGACAAATGGAGCACTTCTTTACGATTTGATCGTAGAGCTCGTATATCTCTTGTAGAATCTACAAAGCTGCAGTTTTTCGCTTGAACAGGTCAAGGTTCAGACGGTGATGCTTCAGATGAAGCTTACATAATTCAACCGGGCCCTTGAGCTTTTCATGAATTCTTCTGAGTGCCAGAGGCAGCGAAGGAGATTCTGCTGGGGCAGATTTCTCCTCAAAATCTCACACTTTGACACCAGCGCCCTTGTCAGCTCCAGGACCCGGTCCTCCTGCCGTAACAGGAACCTTGGGCTTGTATAAAGGCTTGGCCTTCGTCGTCTTCTTCCTCGGACGAGGAGTACCTTCTGTTCAAAGTTTAGAGCCACCTGTAGATGGTTCGGAGGTTCCTTCTGTTGAAGGTTCTGCACTTTGGTACTTTTTGCAGCCAGGTTTGTAGTGTGTCCTGTGTTGCCCATCACAGGCAAGACAGTAGGGAGACTCAATTTTGTCCCCGCCTGCATGTGCAGAAGCTGTGGCGTCAAAGGATCGATTGCTTGGATCATTTTCCTCCAGGTGGAAGTAAAGCTGAGCAGGTCTAACACAAGATGATTATTAGTGCTGACTGGGAGAGACGTTGTGTACAATCCAAAGGGTTCACAAGAAGCAAGGTCTGCCGTGGGACTGCACTCCAAAGTCACGCGCAGATTCCGCATCTGGTCACTTGAGTATAGAGAACAGAATAGGCATGCGACCCTGGTCCAGAACTTCAATCGTGGTGTCGCATGGTGATGTGGTTTTGAACCGCAAAGTGACCTTCTCCTTGATAAGAGCTGTCTCACTGTCAGCAAAAGAAAATTTGGTGTTGGATGGAGAAAAGGTTAAGTAAGGTTATGCCAGTCTTGCCGGGCGCATAGCGCTGAAGGCGGCTGCAGCCCTGAGAAGCTATTGATGTCCTACCAACGCGATCCAACGACCAAGAACAGCGGTTCTGAAACATGTATATGCATGAGCGTGTACACTTGCGTAGGTGCCTATGTATGCGAACTACATACAGATGAAGAAAATATGCACACAAGCAAACCTCCGACATCACGCACTCGTTTCGATCCGTCTGCACAACATGCACCGCTTTGATTTACATATATCACACTGTGCACATGTCAAGAAACAGAAGGAGTCTGAGGGGGAGGGTCTTGCTGCACGTAGTCACAGTCACTGATGTCATCATCCTACAACGTTGCATCACAAATACTCAAGCACATTTACGACAACAAAGATGGCAAGACTTACTGAGTTGGCATGCTTTCTCGCTTGGTCAAGGGGCTGCAGGGGCCTCTTGTCCTTCGGTGGCCCGGACGGTGCGGGTCGACCGAGACCAGCCTCGCTGCACCTTGCAGCGTAATGCAGCACAGATCAGCACTGGGAATCACGTGCATGTTTCTCCTGAAAGTCTAGAGGCAACCGGCTTTTACCGCAGTAGGCTTGGTAGGGCCCTTCTGCGTGCTGCCAGGGAGTGTGGGTGGTTCGTCAATGATTTTTGTCCATGCTATATTTGCAAGGGCTTTCCTCTCGGACCTCGAGGCCACACGCTTTCTCTGGGGTCTGGCACAGAGGCGAGGTTAGGAGTTGCCAACTTCACCTTCGACTGAAATTTGGTAAGGGCTGCGAAGCCGACAGCATGACAAAGCTTTTGTGGATGGAGTGCAGGGATGCTTTGCGGAACACACTCGGATTCTCACGCGTCTGCCCCCCGCTGGTGCCAGCGTCAACGTTAGCGCCGGTGTTGGCGCAGACGCCAGGGCCATGGCTGACGATAGGTTTTCTGGCTATATGCAAGAGCACTTGAAATATTGTGCATGTGTTGCTTCATGGAACGTGGGAAGTGGTTCATTGAGTCAGGGCAGACACAAGGGGTTCCTGGGCGCATGGATCAGGAATCCCGAACAGAATCCTACTTCATGCAATAGGAAAACTTCTGGAACGAACCGCGAGATCTGTCAGTGTCAGATTCTGAGAAGTGAGAGCTGGAGGTGGGCAGCGAAACCATGGTGCCAGAAGGCCCCGGATTGCCCCTACTCCACACATACAGCTAAAGTCATCGAAGCCGCTGAGAAAGACCTTGCCAGAAACTCACTGGACAAAGGACAAAAACAATTCGGCACACCTTGACGAAGACACGAACTCCATCTGCACTCCGCATGGAACCCAGTGTGGAAACTCAGTAGTTGCAAAGGTCCCCTGAGCCCAGAAGCTTCTCAAATCGCGGTGCTTGCATGTGCACAGATGTCAGCACCGCAGAGTTCAACTGCAACGGCTGGCTAACCCACGACGGCAGCTCTCTGCAGCAGAACCCACCAATCTAGGGTATCAAATTACGTCCCAGGAGCCATGGCAAAGGACGAGGTAGTCCTCAGGTTTGAAGGTAGTCAGATGTTACACGATTCAGCTCCCAAGACCGGCACACCCTAAAGTGTTACCCACTAGTCCATGCTGGTGCGAGCCTCTGTTCATGATACCTGCCGCCATTCCACAAAACAAACCCTCAAGCTGATGCAACGGTTTGCTGTGATCTGGACCTTCATGCGCCGCCTGGAGCTCCCCGCTCAAAAAAAGAAAGCAGCATACCCTTACGAACACCTTCTACAAAGGATGTACTTTCGGTCCCCAAAAAAACTTCTTGTAAAAAGAACGAAGAGCTCGAATGATGGTGCCGGTGTTTAGCTGCAGCTTCAGGTCGTAGAAAGCCTCGAAGCTCTTCGCTGTCCTGGGTGCTCCACGGCTGCATGTGTTGGGCGCTAGAAGATGGGTCTCGTGGGTTCTCAATCTCTGTGCACAGTGCAACAGCGCATCTCAGGTCTCTCGTCCTTGCAGCTCTTCTGGTCGTAGAAGTGTTCGGTGCACTCGTATCGGTCCTCACTTTCCTGTCCTGTCTCCTTTCTTGCTATCTGCGGTAGTATGGGGCCTGTGGGGGGGAAGGCTGTCCTTAAATGCATTTTTCATACTGCGGAACCAAAGAAGCCGCAGCAAGCGTGGTATCTCGAACATCCAAGGCAAGGCAAAAAGGGTCATTTCCACCAGCAGGGAGCTCTAAGCAGCACGGCTTTACGGAGTTGTGAATTGTGCTATTCTGCTGGTAGCAATAGCATTCAGGGGCACGAACCTTAAAGAAAGTTGGATCTGTCACAACGTGCACGAGAAAACCGGAAACTTCGCACTCGAGATTTACCGTGTTTTTCAGACGTCCTCATGAGGGCCAGGGTCGGGCAACATGTGCACGTTGCGATAGGGCTCCATTTCTGACATTCACTTCTTGTCTTAGTTGATCGGCTCTCCCCTCTGATGCGAGTCCGAGGCATGTGACATGAAACTTGGAGGTTAATTAGTCGAGAAGGGGACAGCTGCCCGTTGACCTGAACATTCTGTGCAGTCCAGCGTCTTGGTGCAGTCCCAGGCGGCATTGCTAAGGTTCTGTGCAGAAAGCTCCGGAGTCCTTGTAGCGACCTCGAAGTGCAGCGGCGAACTCACGTCGATGCAAGCTCTAGGGCGGTCTCTGTTCCCACCCCTCCCGCGACGTGGCGTCACCAGATTGGAGGTTCGCCCAGACAAGAAATGTTCAGGAAAGCATCAACCGACAATGCTCACAGCATTTGTGAGCGTGTGGTCTCTCTCTGAACTGAGCTCAGTAAGTGAACCTCTCCCGAAGTGCCAGGTCCTCCATCTCTAAGCTCGAATGTGTATACGCTATTCTGAATTACATTATAAAAATATACTCTACTTAACTATGTTTTACTGCATTATACTACACACACATCTATGTATATATATATATGTATATATACATATGTATATACATGTATGTATGCATGCATGCATGCATGTATGTACGTATGTATACACACACTGTAAAACATACATACATACATGCATGCATACATGCATAAACACAGACAGACAGACAGAGACAGACAGACAGACAGACAGACAGACAGACAGACATACGTATTTATGTATATGTATATGTATATGTATATGTATTTGTACATGTATATGTATATGTATATGTATACATACATATATATATATACAAGAAAGAAAGAAAGTAAGTATGTATGTATGTATGTATGTATGTATGACTATCTCTCTCTTCTCTCGCTCTGCCTCTCTCTTCGCACCCACTAACCTGCACGAAATCGTCCAAAGCCTCCTTGAGAAACGACGCCCGCCCGCCTCGTGTCCCAGAGCTTCGACAAATGCTTTGGACTGGACCGCTGTGCTGCCGGAGGCCCAGGCGGTGTTCGCCGGGCCTTGAGCTCCTCGGAAGACTTGAATGCCAAGCTGGCGGGTAAGTACGGATTCGGATGCAGTGGCGGCAACTAGCAAGCCCTTCGAACGAGCCTAAAACCTGGAGGACGGGCAGGCACAGAAGGTTGGAAAAGGTTGCTTCTGCCGGCCTGGTCCGTTGATGCGTGCCGTCACCACTGACCTTCGGCAGCTGCATTTCGAATTTGAGGAGAGCCAGGCCCGAAACTTCCCGACCATCGTTTACAAGGTGTCTGCTCGAAAGCTTGGACTACCAAGAATTAGACTTCGGATCCCTCCTTGACCTGTTGTTGCTAGCTAGGCATTCATAGATTTTCGTTTTGGAGGATCTTCCTGACCAAGGCGGTCTGCTCTTGGTCTTGGTATGGGTGCATCCGCGTCGCTGCAATGCGGCTGGCAAGGTCGCAGCCAACTGCCCACGCGAGGCGAGGCTGGTAGTTCGTGCACTAGCAGTGGAAAACGCTCAAGACCATTCTTCTAGAACTTGTCGAATCGACATTGCACAGCCATTGCCGGTTGCACTGCACTCCTTGCGCAAATCCATAAATCTTTCTAGTCGTCAGCAGCACAGCAGCAGCTGGCCTTTGCAAAACTCCATGTCCTCGGAGCTTTGAAGGAACATGGTCGGGAGTGACGGTTGTCGATCTTGATCGGGTAAACCAAACATGCAGAGTCGATTGGTTCCTGACTTCAGGAAGTGCACTACTGTAATTGCATGTTGCGACACAGCGGCAGGTTTGCAATGCCCTATGCCGACTGCGCTGTCATCGCCTCATGAGCAGGGAAGGCATTGCCCCTGCATCTTTGTGAACTGATGGCTCAACCGCTCATGACCCCGAATCGCGAACACCCATTCAAGTAGTAGTTTGTTGGACGGAGCTTGGGCTCAATCTCGATTCAGAAATTTGCCCTCGATCTTGGCAGATTGGCTGGCTTTCTCCTGTCTCCCAGTTCACCACGACATGAAAACGGGAGCGCCGCAGATTTGCACACAGCCAAGCAAGTGCGCTTGCAGCGCGAACCATCGCGTCATTGTTCTCCTCCTTAAGCTATCACTCATTTTGCCCCCAGCCCCCACATCCCTCGTGTAGCTCGATCTCGAAATGCTTCGTGGGAGCGCTGGCCTGTAGGCTCTCTCGGAAGCGGCCTTTCAAACCCGCTCCGCTGCACCAACACTATCAGCCTTTGCCCAAACAATGCTTCTGTTGAACTTAGCCGGCAAGTGTCTCTTTGGCCTGTGCATTCGTGTGACTTGAAGCCGCAACACTGTGCCAACCTCGCTGTGAAAGCCCAGACAACTGCCCGAGCATGGTGCCTCCAATGTGGCCGCCGCTAAGGCCGCACATGCTGAGCTGCCTTCGGCTGTCTGTGGCTCCAAAAGCGTCGGACTTCGAGCTGCGATTCTATGGGGGAAGATGCGGGTGTCAAAGTTGGCGTCTCGCACACATTCGGAACTCTGCACAATCACGCACCCTCGCAAGAAACAAGAGCCTGATCCCTGCTGAATAGGCTAAAGAATTAAAAGACCTTGCGAGCTGAGAGTCGCCATGTTCTAAAGACACATGAGCGACTAGTGGAAATGGCGCCCGAACTCTGGGTTTCACCTCGCCACGACGGGAGCCCAGAGCTTCATGCTGTGCCTCGGATCGGGTGGGACAGAGGACAGCTGTGCTGCACATGTCTTGTACAAGTGCACGGCTCATGTTCACAGCCCGGGCCCTTCTCCGAACCTTAACCCGAAATCCCGGAAAGATCCACAAAGCCCACAGAGAGGCAACAAGCACGCTCTTGCGCCACTATGCGCCGCTCTAAGAACTGTAGGGGCGAAGATCAACCACGTGAAATGCTGCGCGCTACCGTTCACTGTTCGGGTGGGACTCAATACATGCTTCTGCACTGGCATCCAACGCATGATTCAATCTTCGTAAACCTTCCGATCTTCCCAGGTGCTGGACAGGCTCTGTGCATCGAAGCGCCTCTGACGGGAAGCTACATGTACCGGAGCCCAGCCGCAAAGCATGTCCGAAGAGAGTCTCGGAGCGAGGGATGGCCCTTCACTACCGGCTACAGTACTTGATATTTAATTGTGATAGCAGCCGCCACGCATCCTATACATTCCTATGCCATATCGTCAGATGACGAGTATCCGTCCATCGGACTCGGACGGAGAAAAAACGGAATCGATGGCTGTGCTGGCACATCGCATACTAGACTAGAATGTCTTTGATGACGAACATGCAAACCTAACGTCACAGACGCCTCTGCGTTGGGCTGTCTGGAGGACAAACAGGTTGTGCTTGCGCTAACTCTCCCTTTTGCTGCTGCATGTCTTGCAGGATTCTGACTCAAGGTGCATTACATCGATTTCTGAGCTGATGGCCCCCAACATCCCTGCAAATGGCGAGTTTTGGAGCTGTTCACGGTGCAAGTGTCTGACTCAGGCGGGAAATGTTTTGCAGCCGGGATCCACAACACTTGCAAACACGTTGCCAGGCGCCTACTTCTGTCCCCTGAATTTGCCTGATCTTCTGTTGGACCTGTACGGCGATCTTTCGCAAGAAGATGCGATGAAGATATCGACAACGCAGCCTGCAGGCATGTAGCTTGCCGAGACTGCCAGGACGCAGTTCAAGACCTCCAAACCATGCTCACCTTTGTGCGTGTTCGCTTGCCCCAACCATACCCCTGAAGGCGTGCGCCTGGCTTCCCATGCTGGCGAGTCCTCCGCCGGTCGGGGCTTTTGGTCGGGAAGGCATCGGGATGCAGGCTTTGAAAGGCTTCGAGCCGCACTTAAAAGCCCGAGGCTTCCACCGGGTCGGAAGACATAAGCAAATCTGGCTCGTCGCCATAGCAGCTCGGTGGATTCCGGCAAGGGGAAGCGATGCTTGACTGCCTGTGGCTCAGACTCTACGATGATGCCACGGAAGAGCTGCAAGTGTTTTTTCCCCTGTCCCTGGTCCACATGACAAGTCTCGGCATACAACTCGTGGCGAGAAAGGCACCATGAATGCGATGATTCGCAGTCAGGCTTTGCATGAAAGCCAGGACGGCTGCACAGAGCTGCATTGCTCAAGCACTTGCTCAGCACAGAAGACACGTGTTACAAGTATGGCCCTCATTCGGAAAACGCCAGCATGAAAGTGCCTTTCGAACATCCATGAGCACTGATGGACAAACACAAAGTCGCGCAGACAAGACAGCCTGAGTCAAAGGGTGACGGTGCCCAAGGTCTGGATGCATCAAGTGTTCCGACTGGGCACTGCGCTGACAGCACCTCAACACCACTACATGCCAGCCTACCGAGGACCTAGTTACTTGACTGAACATCTGTACTTTGTAAACGAGCTATGCTTATCTATCTATCAGCTCTGTGTCTCTCCCTTTCACCTGGGCACGAAGCCTACTACCCCCGATCACCCTTGGATGCGGGCGGGGCCCAGTCCAACTCTCAAAACTTGAGCCTTCCTCCCGCTTGGGACCCCGGCAGGGCTCCTCTGACCGAGAGTCCTGCATGGGCTTTGGGAGAATCTGGTCAGACCAACGGGATCTATTGTGTGGGTTTGCTGCCTCCGATGGCAAAGGCGTCACACCCACCCTGCGAAGTGTCAGCGGCCTCGCTGACGATGCCCGGGCTGGGCGATCGGACGGGCCCTGGATTCGGAAGCACAAGCTCGAAACTAGTCAAGTAAGACACACAGGCATCAGGAACCAACTTGTTTGAAACCAAACTGCGAGCACATTCAACCGAATGCAAAGCTTTAGGACTTTGTATGCATCAAAGCTTTATAACGGCAATAAGATGCTCATGACGAGTTCCTGCCTGCCCCCCGAACCCCAAGGACCTGCCTGGGGGAAGAGCGCCCGGTGGCAATGGCCTTGAACTGCTACAACGACATGCTTGCATCATAACCCTTTTGTCTTGCATTTCTGTGAGCTTTCAGACTTCGCTCTCGTAGGGTTGCACTTTCTAGCGAGTGCCTTGTACGATCAGGTATAATTAAAATAGCTTTCTTCCCGTGATAAAAAGACTCTGAAAGACCCTCAGGCTAACAAAAGAACCTACCCCAGCTGAGCTGGCCGAAACAACACTCGAGCTCTGAACACGCCGCGAGATCGGCTCCTAAAGCCTTCCGCCTTGAGCCTTCGAGTGCAGACTGGAAATCCCTGTTGGAGTCCTGCCGTTAAAAACTTGGAACTCCCCAGGCTCAAATCTGTCGCACACTCTGCGGGCTCTAGGGTGGTGGTTTGCGAGGCAACTCTCACACAATCCCATTCTGAGACCCAATGCAGGGTCTGCGCCGGCAGTGGCACCGAAGGCTTTGGATGCCTTGGAGTTCAATAGTTAGTTTCGGCGATATGCTGCCTCTCCGAGCTTGGTGTATCTTGTCGCCAGTTGCTTGCTTGGTGAGCTGCCCGGACAGCTGCTTCCCCGGCGAACAGTGGCAGCAATGGCAATAACTACGAGAAGAGTTGAGCGCGATGCCGAAGGTGGTCACCACGACCGGATGATGACGAGGATGAGGACGGGAATGACAACAAGCAGGACGAAGAGGAGGAGGAGGAGCAAAGGAGGAAGAGCAGGAGGAGGGTCCGGGTACGTGGTGGTCGCGGCGGATATTGGTGAGGAGCGGTGAAGCTTGGAGCTACGCTGCTACACTTTACACAAACCCATACAAACCCTTTCAAAACCGTCGAAGAGTGAAAGTCTGCCAGGCCGAAGCATGACAATCTGCTCATGAAGGGCGGTGGGCTGTTGGACCGAGCCGAGGCTTCCGGGGCTCTGGCAAAACCTGCTCGTATTGTGGCAAAGGCAGGGGAGACTGGAGCTCCTTCCCAGCGAAAATTCAATCGGCTCCAAAGCCAGGACATCGGGAAGGTCAAAGGAACCAAATTCATCTTGCAAACCGAGATGCCGAAACGCTTGAGGTTGGTCCATACCCTTCACAGCTATGAAGTAAACCTAAGGGTATACACAGTGATGCAGAGTGAGATGCACTCTCGAATGACAACGCTGAAACTGTTGAAAATCTCCTGCAGCGGATGCTCGTGAGATGTCGGGCTGAAACTCCACCTGATTTCTGGCATGGGCGCTTGTGGCATAGGGATCTTAAGGGCTTAGCCTGCGTTCTGATCCAGGTAGATACCTCAACTCAACAATCATGGACACAAGCATCACAACGGCCTTCAGCCTCTTTTGCGGTGGGTGGGAGGTTTTGCTA